CTGGGGGGAGCAGGGACAGCCCCCAGGGAATGGCTGGAGCTGTGTCAGGGCAGGCTCAGGGTGGATCTCAGGGAAAGGTTCTTCCCTCAGAGGGTGGTTGACACTGAACAGGCTCCCCAGGGCAGTGGGCACAGCCCCAAGGCTGCCAGAGCTGCAGGAGGGTTTGGATGATGCTCTGGGGCACAGGGGAGACTCTTGAGGATGGGCCTGTGCAGAGCTGAGGACTGGACTGGATGATCCTTGTGGCTCCTTTCCAGCTCAGCATATCCCATGATATCGTGCCACAATTCCCCAGTAATTCCTAGCAGACAGTTTTCCCAGAGAGACCAGACAGGGATTTAGCTGCAGGCAGCACAAAGGGCTGAGACTGCTGCAGGTTCTCAGGGACTCAGCTGAGCTGAGCTCTGCCTGGGCAGCCTGAACCCTGCGCTCCAGGGCCATCCTTTGATGAGATCCCAAAGGAGCATTTGCTGGGCCACTAAAAGCCAAGGTGAGGATGACATGGGTGCTCTCTTCTCTGTACCCCTGCTGCCTCCTGGGCAATAAGAGCGATGGAAAGAAAACGTTTTGTTCTGAAGGAAACATGCACCAGGACAGGAGGATTTATTTCAAGTTCTGACCACCTCTTTGCCCTTTTTCTCTTGCTTTAACTTACTTCTGCTCCTGTACAGCTCTGAAATGCCTTGGTTCCTCTCTGCCTACCCTAGTTACAGGAAGGTGGCCCATGATTGAGCTTGAACCAGACCAGGTTGCTCCAACCTGGCCTCGAACACTCCCAGGGATGGGGCAGCCAGAGCTTCTCTGGGCAACCTGTGCCAGGGCCTGCCCACCCTCACAGAGAAGAATTTCTTCCTAATATCCCATCTAACCCTGCCCTCTGGCAGTGGGAAGCCATTCCCCCTTGTCCTGTCACTATCTGCCTATATAAAAACTACATATTGACTATATAAAGACTCTATAAAAAGTCCCTCTCCCTCCTTTGTCTAAGCCCCATTAAGGGACTGAAAGGCCTCAGGGAGCTCTTCCTGGATACTTCTCCTCTCCAGGCTGAACAACCCCAGCTCTCTCATCTTGTCTTCATAGGAGAGGAATATTCCACAACCCCTTGCCCACATCACAGTGTCAATACATAAACACAGAGCCCTTGCCTGTAGGGAATTATTCCCTTATTTCCAGCTCTGCTCACTGCTGAAGGCTCCTACAAACAGTTTCAAATTTCTGTAGAGTCTCACCTTCTGTAGAGCCTGGTCCAAAAGGCAGCAGTGCAAGTCACAGTCCAGGCTTTCTTGCAAATCAGAGAAAACCTGACAATGTCTTCAGGGCGAATGTAGGAAGCCAAGAGCAGCCAGATGTCGATGGGATATTCTTCTCCACCTCCCCCATCAGCGCTTTCTAAAACGCATAAAAAGGTGTGTTAGTGGAGTAAATAACATCTGTACCAAGCCACTTCTATATCTGCTTTGCTCCTGGTAGCAGCCCAACAAGCCCAAGTAAGAACAGCTTCGGGGTTACTGGAAACCCCAAAGCCTTTCTGGCCCCTATTTCGATGCCTGATCCTTTCACAGCTGAAACACCACCCTGAAGTGGAGAAATAAAAATTGGGGAGCAAATAAAGAGGCAACTTTATGTAAAGGGGGGACAAGCTCCTGCATATTTAATCAAAGCTGCTCATTTAACAGATCATCAAAACTGCAAGTCCTGGAGCATTAAGACACTGCCCAGCTTGTCAATCCTCTGTTCCAGTGGTCCCAATGCTTTTTTAGGAGCTCTGTCAGGGGAGGAAAGCAATTCTCCCCTGCAACTGGCAATCAGCTGCTTTTCTTAAACCTCTAATTTCATTAAAACGTCTTGGATGGGAAACTTTATTGTAACTCAGACGAACAGAACGGCCTCTTCTTCCCCTCAGAGGTGTCAGAACTGCTCAGGCAGAACTGAGGGTTCAGACACTCCTTTCATTCCTGTGGTGTTTTCAGGTTCACACCACACGTTTTTCCACAGCCACTGCTCCAACTTCAGGAGAAAAAAATACCTTTAAAGAATATAAATAGCTAAACAATACCGAGCATTAGAATGGTAAGAGAAGAGAAGAGAAAGAAAACACAACTTGTACACAGTGCTAACAGGAAAAGCTGCATAAAAAGTGGCACAGAGGTGGTCTTTGCCAGATCTAACCCTGAGACAGGTTAGGAACAAAGGGCAGTTCTTTATCCTCATGTGATAATTGCCAAAGAAAGTTCTGGATGTGATCACTCGCCCACAGCACTTCAGATTTATGGCAGACAACATCCACTCTGCTAATTCATTTCTGGCTCAAGGAGCCATCAAACTCCACACTGCTGACCTCAGAGCACAGCCAGAACCATCACTGGCCTAGCACCATTTTTATCTCCCTAACAGGTAAAAAAAAGACAAGGCTGTAATAGAACAGAAATGTCTTCCCAGACTCATAACTCCAGCCCCTCAGGCATTACTTCGCCAGGATTCTGAAAGATGTCTTAAAAAAAGAGGTGAAACTCCTTAAACTCCCTTCCCAGAGAGTGCTGTGCAGTCTATGGTGGATGCTGATGTGCTCCATAAATTAGTATTAAACTCAGGAAAACCAGTTAAAATGTGTTTCTCAACCTGAAAGCAACCTGTTACTAGAAACTTCTGCAGGGTTCCACAGTGCAGCAGAGCTGTTTGTTGCTTACACTGCGTTGCAAATGGCTTTTCTGTAGAGCTGTACAAAGTGTAAATGCTGAGGGATTCATCTCCCTGGAATTAGCCTACTGTGATGCCAACAGGATCAAATGCACCTCCTTGCTGGAAAAACAGCCCTCTGAACTCATTTGTAACAAACCACAGCCTTGAAAACAGAGCTTGTGTTTTGCCAACAGCTGCATCGTGGACAGCAATTCATCCCCAAAGCAACTCTGCTTTCACCAACACCAGCTCAGTGAAGCAACATGTCCAGTGGCAAAGTTTCCCAATTCCGGAAGAGCAAGTGTTTGTTCTCCAAGACTGAGAGATATTTACTTAAAGCAAGGAGCTCTCAGGCTTTGATTTCATGCCCCAGGCTCTGCCTTTGTGCAAATACAACACCCCTGACCGAGTCCCAGGAGATTTACAAGTGATTGAACCCCCGGCATTTCTTTGTGCACGTCCAGGTCACAGAATGCCCCGTGAGCAGCCTGTAAATCCCAAACATTAACACCAGGAGGAGGTGCAGCAGGAGCCCACAGAGCCCCAGGACAACTGTGACCGCACCTTTGTGCCTTTTGCTCTTCTTTTTCCTCGAGGCAGCACGCCCGTTGATGCTCTCCTTTGTGTCCATCTCATCGCTGCTGTCACAGGACTCTCCCGACACGGAGAGAACTTCCTCAGCAGGAACACAGGAAGCTTCCAAACCACACAGGGATTTCACTGGAATGACAAACCACACAGTAAGTACAACAGCAGAGAGGAAAAGGTGATCCAAGTTCAGGAGATACTTCAGTGGAACCACTGCCTTAAAGCTTTCTGCCGAGTGACACAAGCAAGTAAATCCTGGGCTCAAGGATTACCTTGTCAGGGAAAGATTAGCAGGGGTGAGTGAATTGGAAACATAATTATTCGGCTTCTTGTTTTAAAGAATGAACAATGAGGGTGATTACCAGCACATTATGCAGATCCCACTGGTTTAGCTGAAGCTATTTACAATTCTGAATTAAACGACAGGCTCTTTCTGCAGGGGTAAGCGGTTCCCTCGCACAGCAGAGCTGTGGCCACCATTCAGCCTGGAGCCAGCACCTACTCCGGAATTGTTTTAGGAGCACAGAGAAGTCAGACTCCCTTCTCAGAAGGATAAACAGATGCTGTGGGTGTTGACACACAATTCATCAGTGAAATAACTCAGTGCCAAGTACACAGGAGCTCCACTTACCCTGGAATTTAGTGAAGGGCAAGATTCTGCCCTAACTAGGAAAATGGCAGGTTGAGTCAGCTGCAGTTTATTTTGGGTTGGGGTTTTTTTTTCTCTCTCTGGGGGCATGATTAGACATATCCCTGTTGGGAAATATTCTTTCTAAAACCTGATCTGTAAACTCAGGGCTCGGCAGGACAGAAAAATCCACGTGTGAGTCAGTAATGACAGTCTTGGGAAAGGAAAGGTGTGGTCCTTTCGTGGTGCTGTCACAGCAGCACAAACTCTGCAGACAGTCTATAAAATTCATTCAAGAGCTGAATTTCGACCCAACGTGTTGGGTGAAGAACAGCACTGCTGCCAAGAGAAACCTGCTCACGCTTTCCTGCCCTAGAACAAACTACAGCTCAGGAAGGTTTTATACATCCCAGTTACAGTCACTGGAGCCACCAGAGCCACCGGAGAGCAAGATGTGCTACTCCAATCACAGCAGCAGAGTAGCAGAAAAAAACACAACAAAAACAAATATAAGAAACTGATCACAAATAAATTCAAGGGAGAGAGTGTCTCATTTCTAACCAGCAAACAAGGTTTCAAAATGGCAAGACAGCAGATGGAAAGACAGTCTTAAGATACAGTTTGACTGTGCCCACTGACTAGAGGTACTTTCAGTGCTTTGCTAAACCAGTTCAACCTCACTTTGCAGTTTGCTCTGGAAGCTGAAGGCATCTATGGAAGCTGGAGGCATCCATGGCAGTGGTTTCTCCCACTGCCAAATCGTACTGCCCTCTCCACATTACCTTTTATAGGCAAAAAGAGAAATAGATGGCAACACAAGTGAGTGATGACATCAAACACGGCCAAGCAAGAGAAGACAAAAGTGACAGGGACTCAGAGAGGGGTTCAGAGGAAAAACCCACCACACTCTGCAAAGGAAAGATCAACCTCTGTCTGAGTCAACAAGACACACATCCATTCAACAGTGAATCAGGCTGCACTACAGCCCTGCAGAGGCTCCCTCTCCATCCCACTGCTGTGACCCTCCCCATCCTGGGGGTGAGGATGGGAAGGAAAAAAGCTCAGGAAAACTCTCCCCAGCCCTCCCGGTGAAGCTCCCAGTGGGAAGCTCCTGCTCCTGGCAGCCACACCCAGCTCCACGTTCACCCCAACCAAGATCCAGGAGGACAGGGAGGCCAAAGGCTGCAGCTCCCGAGAGCAGAGGCTCCTGGGCTGGCACGTGGCACAGATAAGGCCTGCCAGATAAGCTGCAGCAGCTCAGGGCTGCACCCGATAAGGCTGGAGCACAGCCCTGGGGAAGGGACACCCTGAGGATCCCGGAATCCACAGAGGCCTCAGGGGAAAGCCCTGGGGAACTACACCACAAAGACCTGAGAAAGGGGTGGGCAGGGAACTGCTGGGAGCTGGAGCCATCAGGATGTTGTGGAGATGAGCCAGGAACAGGGCAGCATTTTAGGAAAGGGTTTGTCCTTTCAGGTGATGCTGAATGCAGGGGGGGAGGAAACAAAGGCAGTTTGCCAGTGTGATGCTGAAGTGCAGTGCTTTGCCTCAGAGAACACAGAAGGGTGAGCAGGAGAGGGAATGGAAGAGGGAAGTCCCAAGCCCATACCAAGGGAAGCAACAAAAGGTGTCCTGATCTTAAAAGCTTGAGAAGTAGCAGTTAAAAAGTATATTCACCAGGATCACTGCCCCTGTCAGGTACTCACGCAAAGAGCAGATTTTCTTTTTAAAAGAATTTCTTTTAAAAACTTAAAATATTTCAGCAACAAAGCAAGAGTTTCCCTGTATGAAGAGTTCAGTCATTGCTGTCAACAAAACAACATCCACCCCCAACGTGTGTGATGAGCTCCATTTAAGAGTCAAACTTTAACATTTCTCAAGCACATGCAGGGTGCTGGTTTAGAAAGCTCCCAGCAGAGGAGGAAGTAGATAACAAAATACTGCAATTCCTTTCCAGGAAACTCCTTGTTTACAGAGTTCCCCAAGAAACAGCAACACCCTCCCCAAGACCTCCTTGCAGCACAAATTTGCCAGAACTATCACAACCTTATTGCCACTGCAAAGACTTTTACCTGCTAATAAAACTGCCTACAGCTTTATGTGAGCTAAAAAAGAAATAAAATACTTTTATCCTGTCATTTTCTGCTTCAAGCAGGAGATGACAGCCAAGCCCTTCTGCTCCAGGCACTGCCAAAGACTGGGCAATTCCTACTGGACTTGCAGCAGGCTTCCTGCAAAACCTGCTGTCTGAGCCCTCAGCACCTGATTCTGCAGAGCAGCACAGGCTCGTTTTCAGCACCAAATGACACACATTTTCTCAGGTTAAGGAAGGGGGGTTCCCACACCGTGCACAGGCAGCCTGGGGAGGGCAGGGCCCCCAGTGCAGACTCACCCTCCTGCTGCACCGCGTTGGCCACAGCTTTCTTCACCCGTCCAGACTTCACCACAGCGGGGTCTGAGTTGGCATAATCTGCCACCGTCACTGCAGAGGGTGGGACACAGGGGTCAGGGGGATTAGGGATTACAGGGAAGAGGACAAAAGGGCTAGGAGCCACCACGCGTGGACGGCACAGTCCCCAGAGTAGCAGAGAGATGCACAGGTAGGAAAATGAGTCCCAGCAGAGAGTTGCAGGCCAGGGGTCCCCAGCAAGTCTCTACCCCAGGCTCAGGGGACCCACCCCGTGCCCATACCGGTTCAGTCCCCCCTCTGCTACCACCTAAACCTATACCAAATCCCAGAACACCGCTAAAACCCAGCCTAACCAGAGCCTGGCTCATCCCCTAGTCTCAGACTCCTCCTTCCCAGGCAGAGTCCTTATTCCCACATACCAGGCCGAATTCCCACTGGACACACTCCCTCCACAGGTCCAATCCCTCCTTCCCACTGGACACACTCCCTCCACAAACCCAATCCTTCCTTCCCATTGGACACACTCCCTCCACAAACCCAGTCCCTCCTTTCCCACCAGGCACACTCCCTCCACAAACCCAATCCCTCCTTTCCTCTGGACACACTCCCTCCACGAGCCCGAGGGGCCCGGGCTCATCTCTCGGATGACACTGGCCCCACCTCCTGCCCCTTCAAGCCTCTCAGCCAGGCCAAGCCCAGGCCCCTCAACCCCATCCTCCCTGGGGCCTTAACGCAGGCCCAGGCCCGGGCCCAGGCTCAGGCCCAGGCGCCCCTCTCCGGACAGCACGAGCCGCCTTCCCCCGGCAGGGCCCGGCCGGGCTCCCCTCAGTCCCCTCCGTCCCCTCAGAGCCCTCTCCCCTCACACCGCGCTCCAGGCCCGGCCCCGCTCCCCGCCCGGCCCGGTGCCGTCCCCCCTCACCCCTCTCGGAGCACACGTCGTCGGCGCGGAACTTGAGGCGCTTGCGGGCGGCCCTGCGGGGCATGGCGGCGGCGGCGGCGGCGGCGGCGGCGGGGCGGCCGCGCGGGGCCATGTCCGGCCGGGCCCCGCGGGGACAGCGGGGACAGCGGGACCGCGCCCGCCCCGCGCCCGCCCCGCGTCACCGCCGCGACTCCGCGCGCGGGTGACGTCACAGCGGGGAGGGGGACAGCGACACGGCCACCCCCCGTGAGCACGGGGGGCACAGGAAAGGGGGGACCCCCCCCCGGGAAGGAGGAGCTGCGGAGGAACTGCTCCCTCACAGAGCTGGAGGTCCCTGCGGGGCCCCCTCCTTCCCAGTGCTCCCAGTTATGGAGGCCTCTGAGGGGATCCCACCTCCCAGTTCTCCAACAGCGGGGACCCCTGAGGGAACCCCCCCATAATGAGGATCCCTGAGAGGTTGTCCCCCTCCCAGTAACGGGGGTCCCCCCCAGTAAGGAGGAGCCGTGAAGTAACCGCACCCTCCCAGTACTGAAGGTCCCTGAGGGGATCCCCCCACAGTGCTGAGGATCTGTGAAGTAACTGCCCCCTCTCAGTAATGAGGGTCCCTGAGGGAATCCCTCTCTCCCAGTCTTCCCAGTAAGGAGGATCTGTGAAGTAACTGGCCCCTTCCCAGTAAGGTGGGCCCTGAGGGGATCCCATCTCCCAGTCCTCCCAGTACTGAAGGTCCCTGAGGGGATTCTCCCCAGTAACAAGGGCTTATGAGGAGATGCCACCCCTCAGTGATGCCACCCCTCAGTGCACCCAGTAATGAGAATCCCTGAGGTGCTCACACCACCCTCCCAGTAAGAGGGGCTCTGAGGCAATTGCCCTTCCCAGTAACGACTCTCTTGCACCCACAGCCACCCCTGAGAGCTCCCCAATGCCAGTGCCTGTGTGATCCCCCTCCCCAGCTCTGGCCATGCCCTCTGCCACCACCCTGGGGTGCCCTGGCTCACCCAGCCCCCCAGTAGAAGGATTTAGGTGCCAAACCTTCCCCAAAAACCAGGGCCAAAATCCAGTGGCCAGCAGGGGATTGCCCCCGTGCCCCCCACACTGTGCCCTGCTCATCCAGGGATTTGGGCACCACACAGAGAAGGTTGAGAGTCCTGCCCAGTCCTGGGGGTGTCCAAACTGGGAGAGTGGTGGGGTCCTGCTCTCTTCCTTTGGGATTCACAGAAGGGCACAAGAGCACAGCCCTGTCCTGCTTGTCTCTGTGGGGAATGGGACAGCCCCCAGGGAATGGCTGGAGCTGTGTCAGGGCAGGCTCAGGGTGGATCTCAGGGAAAGGTTCTTCCCCCAGAGGGTGGTTGGCACTGAACAGGCTCCCCAGGGCAGTGGGCACAGCCCCAAGGTTGCCAGAGCTCCAGGAGGCTTTGGATGATCCTCTGGGACACAGGGGGTGACTCTTGGGGATGGACCTGTGCAGGGCTGAGGGTTGGACAGGATGATCCTTGTGGGTCCCTCCCAACTCAGCATATCCTGGGATTCTGTGAGTCTGGGATTCCAGGACCTGTGGTTCTGTGAACACCCCACAACGCTATGTTTCCCACCTGTGCCCCTTCCCTACGAGACCTCAGGAGAGGATTTGGACCACAATGAGATGCTTTCAGGGCTGTGGCATCAGCTCTTGTGCCTCCCTGGAGTGAGGTAACACACGGAATACAGAGAAATCCACATTTCTTCTGCTTCCCAGGAACACCCAGGAGCTGATGGTGTCTATAATCTCCTTTCCTGACCACATTTCTTTCTCTCAGTGTTTCTTAAATACACAAAGAGCATTTTATCAGCAAGGAACACATTTGATTGAGAAAACTTCTGATCATCCCAGGCAGAAAAGGCCATTCATTGACAGAAATGCTGTTCCTAATCCATCTGTTCTTAAAGCTTTGGATAAAAATTAAGGGGGATGGCAGTGAATAAACCAGATCCGGGTGGTGGTGGCTGCACCCACCTCTTTGGTACCCAAAAACGTTCTCCTTGGACTGTGCTACTCATCGTCCTTATCTGAGATCTGTACCACAGGATTAGTTTTAAAAAGTAAAGGTTCTCCTGGCTTGGAAAACTCTGTGGAAAACAGATGAAGTTTTACCGGGATACGACAAGAGCAAGGTGAAGGCAGCTGTTCCAGTGTGGATGGATCCAGCGGGAGCCAAGGTTGGTGGTCCAGCCTCACACCCCCTGAACTTAGGAGGAGGAACACATTCTGTCCCCCCATGGCTCACAGGGTGAGGAGGAGGCCATGGCACAGCTGGGGGCTTCACTGCCTGGCCCCATCCCTGCTCTCCACCTGAGGGGCCTCCACAGCTGCAGGGCAGTGGGGCACCCAGGACTTGGGACACCCCACAGGCAGGTCGGCTCCTGCCTCCCTCCTTTTGGGGCTGGACGAACCCCTTGGGGAAATCCCGTTCCCCTGGGGGCTTCTAATCCCCAAGGAGGTTCCTGCTGGCCAGGGGAGTCCTCTGCCCATCCCAGGGGAATTCCTGCCCTCTCCCCAGCGGGGGAACTCACACCCCCTGCCCCCCAGCAGAGAGTTTTCTGCTCCCACAGTGGGATTCCTGCACATCCCCCTCAGAGTTTTCTGTACCCTCAGCAGGATTCCTTCCCTATCCAGGGGGAAACTTGCCCCCCAAGGAGGTTCCTGCCTCCGAGGGAAGTTCCCCCTGAGGAGATTCCTGCTCCTCTTTAGAGTTTTCTTCCTTCCCTTTCCAGGGTGTATCCTGCCTCCCCAGGGGGGTTCCTGCCCCCCAAGAAAGTTACCTCGGGGGTGATTCCTACCCCCTCTCAGAGTTTTCTGTACCCCCAGCAGGATTCCTTTCCAGGGGGCATCCTGCCTCCCCAGGGGCAAACTTGCCCACCAAGGAGGTTTCTGCATCCCAGAAGGGTTCCCTCGGGGGGGGATTCCTGCCCCTCTTTGGAGTTTTCTGTCCCCCAAGGGGTATTCCTTCCCTTTCCAGGGGAGATCCTGGTCTCAAAGGAGGTTCCTGACCCCCGGAAAGTTCCCCCTGGGGGGATTCCTGCCCCCCTTGGACTTCTTTGTCCCCCCAAGGGGATTCCTTCCAGGGGGACCCTCCCCCTCCCTTCCCAGGAGGCCCCCTGACCCCAAACCCTTCCCTACCCCTCCCGCACCCCCAAACTCCCAACCCCCCCGACCCCCCTCACCTGGGGGGGCGTGTCCAGGTGAGGGGGCGTGTCTCCGTGGGCGCGGCCACATGGAGGGCGTGTCCCGGTTGGGCGTGGCCGGTGACGCAGTGGGCGGGGCAGGGCGGGGCGGTGGCGGCGGCAGCGGCGGCGGCTTCCAGCGACTTCGGCGGGCGGTGAGTGCGGGCGGGGTCGGCCCTCGCTACCCGCGGGGGATGCTCGGCCCCCGTGCGGGGCCGCCCGGGTGTGCTGGGCCGCCCTCCTCCCCAGTGGGGCCGGGCGGAGTATGCTCAGCCCCCCGCGATGGGGCTGGACTCGGAGGATTCGATCCTTTTCAGCCTCCTCCTGGGGATGCTCTGCCCCTCTCGAGGGGCTGCCGAGTCCCCTCGGTGGGGCTGCAGTCGAGGGGCTTTACCCTTATAGCCTTCCCCTGGGGATGCCGTGCTCCCCCCACGCCGAGAGGATGCTCTGCTACGGCCCAAAGGGATGCTCTGCTCCCCACGGTGGGGCTGATTTAGGGGGCTTTATCCTTATTTGCTCCCCCCCGAAGAGATGTTCTGCTCCCCCTCGGTGATGCTGGACTCGGGGGTCTCAACCCTTTTAGCACCCCGCGGGAGTGCTGTGCTCCCCCCCACGAGTGGATGCTCCCCATCGCCCCCCGGGTGGGGCCGGACCGGGTATGTTCAGCCCTGCCCTGCCCCGGGAGGTGCTCTGTCCCCCCCCCGGGAGGGGCTGGATCCCTCCGAGGGGGCTTTGTGTCCCACCCAGGGTGGCTGAGTCGGAGTGCTCTGAGCTCCCCCGTTTCGCTTGGGTTGGATCTGAGCTTGAGGATTGTCATCCTCCCCCTAAGCTGGGCTGGAGGGGATCTGCTCAGCCCTGACATTCCCCCAGGCTGGGCATCAGAGCCAAGGGGACAGTGACCCCCCAGAGCCAGGGGGCCGTGCTGCCCCATCCCCACTGGGCAGGTGGGGGGGTGAAGAGTGGGCACATTCACCCCCCAAGCCTGCATGGTTGGGGGGGCAGTGATTCCTGTACTGAGGAGGGGGCTCCTTGATTTATAGCTGCTCTCTGCCCTTGGCAGCCCCCCAACACGCTCTCAAGCTGTTCCTTTGCACACCTCTGCATCCCAACTGCCACCCTACACTGAGGGGAGGGCAGGGATGGGGGTGAGCCTGGTCCTACCCTGGCCTTCTCCTGCTCCTCTGATTTATCGCAGTATCCCCTCCCTCAGTGCTGTTCTAGCCCTGCAGCTCTGGGCTGGGATGCTGCCACACAGATGCTCATGGAGCTGAGCAGCAGGTAGATGCTTGCCAGGCTGGTTCAGCGTGGACATTGACCACTGTGCCCGAGGCAGGACCAGCACAGGGAGTGTCCAGCCAGCCTGGGCAGCTCCAGCTGTGCCCACATCCTCTGACAGCTGGGGCCGGCTCATCGTAGCCATGGCAAGCTGCCTCCAGACACCACGGTTTCCTCCTGAATAACCAGCCTTTAAGGGCTTGTTTATCCCCTAAATTGCATCATTATAACAGCAATTGGCTTAGGGAGCTGGGTTTTGTTAAAGCTGTGCAAACCTTCTGGGGACACCCTGGTTTTGGCCAACTCAGGGTTGGCAAAGTGTTGCATTAAGCTCGTTTCCCACCATCTGCTGGGTGCTGGGATGGGGTTTGATACCACCAAGCCACTCTGTGAGTAGGAGCTGGTCCAGAGGCGAGGTGGGAGCTGGAGTTTGGGACCTGGATGTGCCTGTGTGGTTTGGGAGTTTCTCAGTTGTGGCACTGCCCGGCCTTTAGAGGAGGGGGAGAGTTGGTGTCTTTGTGTCTCTGATGGCCTGGGAGCCTCAGGTACCTGTGTTCTTAGGGACTCTACGAGGTGCTGGTCCCTGTGTGTGCTGCTTGAGAAGCAGGATTGATCCCTGGGGACTTCCCTGGAGTCACCAGCACAGCTCCCTGC